TATATATATATATATATATATATATTCAATATGTATATTCTATATTGAAAGTTTGAATATTTCAATATTTTAAAACTAAAATAACAAGTATGTCCAGAATTACGTATATGCTAAGTATGTATCCAGGCATTAGTACTTTTATCTTATTTCTCTAATTATTGCAAAAAGTACAATTCCACTCTTAGATACGGCTTCAATTACCGTCTCGCTCGTAGCTGTCAATTAAGCGACTTATTACTATTGTTACCATTTTTTCCTCTGCCGGAATAATCAATTCCCTCACATCGGTCGTTGCCGTCTCCCCCCGAACTTTCGTACTTGTTCACACATATATCTGCAATTCCAGTCCTAATAATTCTCCGGCGACACACCTGTCCCAGGACGCGAGTGTCTAGATCCTAAAATCGAGATTCCAGAATTTAAATTCCGGAATCTATATAAATCCTGCCGACCGCGCGTCCACCTCTTCTCGCCCGATCACGCCTCTATTGCGAATCTGCGCATTATTATCTCTCGCGCCGTCCGAAACTCCGTCCTTCCTAGCCGGGACAAACGACAATTTACGGCCGGTCCCGATAGCCGCGGTCGCTCGGCGGGTTAAATCGCGTGAAATACTGCTTTCGGCACATTGGTCCGGCACAATTATTGATGGCACTTCGAAGGGAGAGACAGAAAGAGAGAGAGAGAGAGAGGGCAGGGCTGCGCCCCATGCTCGTTCGCTTGGAGAAGGCAACGACGACGACGGCACTCGCCGTGATCCGGAAGGGCGCAATCAATGTAGCGTGCGGCGCTTCGATTTAAATTCATGAATAATTCCCCCCTCCCGGCCGCGCCGAGCCGAAGATCAACGAGTTTTTCGGTCGTCTCGCGCGTTTTTCCTCGGCCCGATCGCGGCCCATCGATCCATCGGATTCTCTCGCCCCGTGAACGCGCTCTCGGCGACTACCGTCGCTAAATTTCCCGGCGAGTCCAGATTTACTACTGCACGTCGCCGGACGTTATCCTGGGAAGAATTGTGCGAGACACGGCGCGAGAGAGAGATCGTTTCTATCTAAATAATCTATTCGGGGGCAATGATCATTTATTCCCCGCTCTCTCTTTCTCTCTGATCGGTCACAGACGCGTGAATAAGTAACGACACACAATTATTCCGCGGTGACGTACGAATAATTCACAATGAATAATGAATAGTTATTCTATTTGCATGCAGCGTCATTTATTATGTATCCTTTGTTTATCGCTCGCATATAATATTCCCGAATAACAATTGCGTCGATTGCGCAATGCGCAAATAAACGGTATATCTCAGCCGCGCCGAAGAAGAGAATTCTGTTATTTCGAGACGAGAATTTGGTGCAGCCGCAAAATCGCTATCAAAACATTCAATTCAACATTCTTGCGTGTGTTTTGTTTTTTCACTAATTATAATACTATTTGGCACAAGAGAGAGACGTGGCAATGCCAAATCGCATTCACCGAATATTTCCATCCCAAATGCAACAATAATTTGTTTAATGTGAAGTATTTGGCCGGCGGAGAGTACACGACTCCCTTATTTTCGCGCGCGAAAGCGTAATGCGAATCCATCCACTCCCGCAGCGTGAGAAATTCAAACAAATTACAACAGCGGTCGCGATTCCCGTCGAGGATCCCGCGCCGATCGGTGCTCGACAATTATCCCAGCCGATCGTTTTTCCCGTGTCGGGCGAACGCGAAAAGCACCGGAATAGCCGGGCGGTGATTTATTAATTGTCGCTCGTCGCGCGTTACCGAATAAATTATGACGAGTGCGCACTGATTAATTACAAGTCAATTAACGTCCCCACCGACCGGCCGACCGCCTGTCCGTCCGGACGACCGGCGGACGATGAAACGAACAACGCGAAATAACGCGAGCGCCGTGTCTCCGCGTCGCGACACACGAACACTTTATTAAATCCGCCATCAATTAATCACGAGCCGGCCCGGCCGCGGTATACCTTTTCGGCGGCGCGATTGCTCGTATCGACGTCATTATTGCCGATTCATTATTCACGATCGTGCCAACGACGCCGATTTTTCGTGCGCGCGACGCTGAATTTTGCATCGCCGTCGTTCCAGCGTTAATTACCCTGCCTACCTCCCTGTCAGCCACCCTTATTTTTTCCGTCTACCTGACCGTCATTAATAAATGTCAATTGCGAATTATGGCCATGTGCGCGTGTGTGTTTGCGTGTTGCAGAGGGAGGCCACGCAACGAGATGTGGAACGAGAACGCCGGCAACGAATGGAGGCCGAAGCTCGGGTACGCGAGGCTACGGCCGAGGCTGAGAGAGCGCGCTCGAGAGTCCATCATCTTCAGAGAGAGTTGGCCAGGTAAGATGTCGTTCATGTGAATCAAATACACGGGGAGAATGTTGTGTCATTTTTTTTCATATACGGGATATCTCAAACTTCCATGATCACACTTTGCGAGAACGTAGAACGGATTGAGATGCAAGAAACCGGCACACTGAGAAAAAAATACTTGAAAATTTATTTGTAGGACAAAAATTTATTTCACAGAAATAAATTTTATTTCTCAGAAATATATTTTATATCATGGAAATAAATTTTGTATTATACAAATAAATTTCCAAGTGTCTTTTCCTCAGTGCAAGAAAATCCTGTGCCGTTTTACGTTATTCGCAATAATAGTCGAGATATTAATTAAAAAAGATTGGTGAATGATCACGCGCGATATGATAGATGAGCTGCGCCGTCTGCCGTTGTATACTTATACATTAATGCCCGTTTCTACCAACTTCGGTTAACTTAACCGGCTGGTTATTCCAACGGAATTGACCAATGGTAAAAAAAAGTGCGACTGTTAGTGCAACTTGTTAATTCTGGCAAAAAAAGTGCGACTGGTCAATTCTGTTGAAATAACCAATCGGTTAAGTTGACCAAAGTTGGTAGAAACGGGCATAGTCAACTGAACAAAAAAGTCCTTTACCATTTTGTAAATGACCACATAAATTTTTAGATATTAATTAAAGAAAATTTGTGCATTATGATACACAATCATATATGTAACAATTTTCTTTAATATCTAAAAATCTATGTGGTCATTTGCAAAATGGTAGAGAACTTTTTTATTCAGTTTGACTTAAATATACAACGGCAAACGGCGCCACTGCAGCTCATCTACTATATCGTGCGTGATCATTCACCAATGTTTTTTAATTAATATCTTGACTATTATTGGGAATATACGGCACAAGACTTTCTTGCTAATCTTAATCCGTTCTACGTTCTCACAAAGAGTGATCATAGAGGTCTGAGACACCCTGTATATAAATTTCTTTCTCTCAATTTTACTATGCTTTTAGTAGTCCATAAGAAAATAGACTGTCAGTAAAATCTGTCTTACTAAGAAACATAGTTAATTTCGCTAGAAACATAGCGAGTGTCATAATAGTTTCAGCGTATTTCAGTTTTTAAAATAGCACATATAAAACAAAAGCACAGAGTGAATTACTGCAGAATATCGATCTGTTTCTCATTTACATAATCCTATATATTTACTATAAAATTCTCTCCATATACGAGGCGTATGAATATATAATTGTTGCCAAGTTAGAGTGTAGGAAATTTCTACTCCAATTGCCAATACTTCTAGCCAATTGCTCTTAGTTATGTCAAGCGAGTTTTCACGCAGCTGAATGTTCAGACGAATGTTTTCGATCACACACGGAAAAAATTTTCGTGACGAAAAATCCCGGTTGATGTTTTGCCAGAAGTCTTGTTAATTTCAACAGAACTCTGGTAACTTCAGCCGGGATTTCTAGTTTGTCCATATTTTGCCAGAAATGATGCTTGATCCAACCGAGCTTTTTTTCCGTGCAACAATAGACATGTTATTTCTCATCAGCGAGTTTTCCTCATTTGGTCTCCATTCATTTGCCTGAACTGAAATATTTGTTTCCATGTATTATGCACTGCAAAAGAAAAACACAGAAAAAGCAACTCCCTCAGTGTAACAGTTTTCTGTTGCTTGGTAATAGAAACCAGAAAAAGTTTGTAGATTTTTTCTCAGTCAATTATTTTCAATTATTATGAGCAAATTTTAATACAGTTTCACGTTGAATTCGTCATCTGGTCCCTACAAATTGAGATTTTGTTCCGTGTACGAAATTTCCGACGTTGATTCGAGGACCGAAATCGACGGGTGGTGAGACTAAATAGACGCATTCGATGCAAAAGTGGTTGCGTTCCTTCCGTTTCCGAGACGGCACTTTATCCTCCTAACCGCGATAACACGCTCTACACGGCAAAAGTAACCGATGTAACGTATAAATAATGAGACCGCGCGTCTTTCCCACGCAATAACCAGCGCGGATCCGATGCTAAATCATCGATATTGGCTCTCGGCCAGTAACATACTGCACGACCGCCCAAAATGATAACCTTTCCCACCTTCCGCGGTCCTTCGTCGCCCACCCTCTCCCCCCCCACTCCTTCCCCACACCCCTCACGCTCGGATTTATTATTACCGAATACCGCGGATTGTCGCGCGATAACGGCACGTTCGATGCAGCACGCCAGGGGAAATAAAATGGCATGCGGGATATGCGACTAATGAAATTAAATTTCTGCGGCGTTGTGCAACGTAGATTTTAGGCACGGTGTCGTGCGACTGGTGAATTGCGGTATTTTTCCAGATATTTTTAGCGGAATAACGTTCGTGTTCGATTGCGATAGAAAAGCGGTTACCTTGAGAAATCTTATCTCAACTATTAATCTCTTTCTCTGCTTCTCTCTCTTTCTCTTATTAATCTCTTATTGATCTCCGTGGAGGATTCTCGCGTCAATAGCACCGGGAATGCCCATTGGGCGAACGTTATCGGCGAACGTAAATGGGTTTCTTTATCGCAAGAGCAGAGCTGGCGGATTATTTGTCGAATTATTCGATAAATCGGTGCACGCGGATCGCGCACGGGCGAACGCGAGCGCGCGTAAAGAAGGGCTCTCGTGCAGTTCTGTCAGAACCAACGATTCGTTTCGGCAAGTCCACGGCCGGGGAAAAAGCCTTTCAAACGCTCGGTCCTTTGACGGCGCCGTCGAGCAGACAGGGAAAAAAAAGAGGAATCTTCTGATATTTTTCCCCGAGATCAATAACACGCCGTGGAAATTAAACCGGCGGACCAGGGTCGTCGGGGCTTATCGACTCTCGACTCGCAATAGAAATCGCGAATGCCGTGCACGGCATTCCAATGTAGAAAATTGCAAAACAACACACACGACGGCTCGCAGTTCGCGTACAAACGTGATCGAGCTTCGATACGCGCTATGTATCACAGAATCGAAATTTCGCTTCCACGTTGACCCTGCAAATTCTGTCCAACTTGAAGGGGGAATCTTTAAAAATAATATTTTACTGACTATCGTCGTACTTGGACGCTACAAATGATTACTTGCTGCGTTTCATTTATGTCGAGATATGAAGACCTTATTTGAAGATATTAAGGGGATGTTGGGATCGATGACAAACTCGAACAACGTCGATAATGCAGAGACGATCGTCACTAACATAATCACGCTATCCTTTTCGTATTTCTTGTACATACAGGACTTACATGAATGTGTGTTGCTTTTTTTACCATATTCAACGGAAAACTTAATCATATATGTGTAGAAATCTTTCTGCAAACTTTTCCGATATTCTTAAGCTTCCAAATGCAGATGCGAAGGTAGAGCAGTGTTCTTAAAAATTTTTCTGTTTGGAGCATCCACACTTTCGGTATGTACAAGTTGCGGAATTTTTGGATTAGACAAATATTACGTTAACTGACAGCTTAAGATTTTACATTAAAAATTTTTTGTTCGTTTTTGTCATATATCGAACAATGCTCTTATTTATTTTTGCACGTACTTCCATTACGTAAAAGCATTTGTAATTTTGTACAACTAATACGATGTAAATTTTGCAGAAAAATGTCAGTGTTCTGTCGGTAAAGTTTTCAACTTCAGCATCCCCTTAACACTCGATTATCTCGATTATTCATTCTGTCTTCACTTAATTTATTCTTGATTTAAATCAGCAAGGTGGCAAACGATGTGGCTCAGTCAGTCGGCAGATAGAATATTCACGTGCACGGAATTGGCAGGGTTAAAATATAAAATCCAAGTTCAAGCGCTAGCGCTTTTACTCGACATCACCGATATCATTGCATTATATTATCGCGCGTTATTAGCAAGCCGATTTAATCAATTGCGTGTAACTCCTAACTGGAGCATTATTTGTGCTGTGATGCGACGCATGGTTTACCGCGCAAATTAACATTTCGGTTATATCGTGGCCGCGTATATTCCAAATAGGAAGGGTCGAACGCTACCTCTTCTCAAATGTGTATCGACGTATGTGTGTGCATTGAAAGTAAAATCAAATTATTACCAAATTAAAAAGAGAAAGGAGAGTCGAGCGACAGAAAACCGATCTCGGAAATAATCACGTGGATGCCGGACTTGTTAGATTGAATTATTGTAAAATTAAAAAATAAACAAGGGAGAAAAAGAAATCGACGGAATAATTGTGTAAAGGCCACGTCGCTTTATGCTGCTTTCGCGACTTTTTCCGTGGCCACGCAAATTGCAAATTGCACGATGCAATTTCATTTTCGGAATATCCCTCGAGAGAACGTCGAAAGTAATTTCGCGGGAATTACACGTGCAGAAGTGAAGACGCACGCGGAAAAAAAGATTCGGTTGAATGAAGCAAATCTCTATAAAGTAAAGTATGAACGAACCAGAAATTCCGGTTGAAGTTGCCAGAATTCTGTGCTCAAGTTAACAAGATCTCGGAATTGATTAATCCGACTGAACTTCTTTTTCTCCGCGCGGCGGGAATTCGCAGGTCTTCGCGCGATTCTCACCCGATTTTCGTCGCTCGCGTTTCCACGAGGGGAAGAAGTGACCCGGCCACGTCGCGCTCACCGCCGTCGTAATAAGCACGAACGATGCGTGTACAGCAAATTGATATCCCTGTTTTACAGCGTGCAACGTGACATGATGCATCACAAACCAGCCGGATACGCGCGGACGTGACGGTTCTCTGTCGTGAATGAGTAATCACATCCCGGCGCCCTTTTACGCGCCGCGCCCTTTCCTTCTTTCTGTATCCCTCTGCGCGGCTCCATCCCCCTCCCCCTCTTCCCCACATCCGCGATTTAATCCCGGTAAATCTGAAAAAATCGCGACGCGTCCGAATTTGAGTCTCGGCGCGACGCGAAGAAATAATTTATCTCGACTCCAAAATTCTGGGAAAATTTCAAAATAACGCAGAATCTGTTTGCAGAGTTTGATTTTTTATTGCGCTACTATCTCATAGCTGAGAC